ACGGTGAGTATGGAAAATGCCCAAGGCAGGCCCCTGGTGCTACAGGCTCATGGCAGGAACTCTGATACTGTACCCAAAGAGTCAACAACAACTTCACATTTATATTGCATAGATACATAAAAATATGTATTTGGAAACTGAGATTCAGAGAGGTACTTCCACCAAGTCTCAAAAGCAAGATTAGCAGAATCAGCCCCCTACAGGCCTAACATGTTAGCCCTAGCCACACCCATTATTTAATTTCTTTTTTCCTGGCAGATTCAGTGGAAATAGGGGCCTGATCTCATTAAGGGGGATGAAATTATGAGATACATTTTTCATAAAGCACAAGTTTTAAGACGTATCACAAGGAAGCCACATTTCACCTTCTGCATAAATCTATAACCCATCTATCACAGCTACTGGCACATGCCTCACCTCCACAGACAGTTACTGTCCAGAGCACCAGCCCTAAGCTGAAAATTCTGTGTACAGAGCAAGCTCTTGCCAAGTCTGGGGCAATGGCCTGAGAACTAGCAGGCTCTAGTCTGCACTAGGGTTTCCTTACAATACTAGGTCCTTCCAGCCCATCTACCACCTGACATTATGTTAAACTTACTAAACAGAAATGGAGAGGAGGAGCAGTGTGGGAGGCGAAGAAAATCTGAAAGTTGCTGTAACTGTCCAGTGGCACCTTGATTTAGGAGTTTATGAGTCTATAAATTGTCTCAGCCCTTACAGGGCTATCTTACCGGTTTCCCAAGCACACAGATTACTGCCTTTCCCAGGCCATGATGACTCCCCCTTCAGGCACAGTGCTTGTCACATCCATCAGAGGTGTCCTGATAATTCTGTGAGGCACTTTGAGGATTGTGCCACCCACAGCCTACAGTTTATGGAGCTAGGTACCTACGATCTGCTACCTTGAGTGACATGAAATAGCAGGCCCTTAGAAAGCATATCTTCTTGATGTCCCCACTCTTATGATATTTGGAGCAAAAGGAAAATGACCAGACTACCTTCTCTTCTCAGGCCTTGTGGAGACTGAGCCCACCGTAAATGAACCTTGGGGATAGAGGTTCATGTTCTGATGCTGATCTAGTCTCTATCAATGGAACCTCTCTTATTACTGTTTCACCTCTTGCTGTTTTAGTCTTCCCATCTATAAAATGGCCTCAATACCACAAGACCTCTCCAGAAGGTAGCAAGGAGCCAGATATTCTTGATTTTAAGTTTCAAATAAAATTGTCCACACTACTTCTAAATCTCCAGCCCACTTCCTTTAGTTCAAGTGTCAAATCTGATTCTGCAATACTCAAGAAAACCCAGATGCTCTCTCTCTCTACTCAACTTGGTAACATTTTAAATATTTTAAAAATAATCACAAGAAAGACAAGGAAAGAGTACACAAATACTAAGATAACAAGGAGAAAGGGATAAAAATACAAATATGGGAAGCACTTTCTGGTTTTGGAACAAAAGACAGTGGCAATGGATGGTGGTACCCATGAATGAAGTGTATGTGTAGAGCAAAACCATTGCAAGTAAAAAATAGGAAACCTCTAAAGTATTTGTATTTTATATGCGGGTTAATACTGCTGGCTTTAAAAAGTAAGAGTCCTTGGAAGCAAAAGGTAGGAGGGTCTGAACTAATTAAAAACAGGTCGGCTAATGATGGGCTGCATCACGTGTGCGCTGAGATGGAGTGCAGTCATAAAAGCTGACGCATACATGCAATGTATTAAGTTGGGAATGTGTGTCTCTCCAGCTTCATATCTATTAAAAGAACAATTTACATGCTGCTGTATTACAGGAGTATGATATGTGGATTGTCAACCCTTCCTCTCCAAATCGAACCATGTTAAGTCAGATCAGTGATGGAGTTTGCAGGGTGAAGAAGGGAGGAGAGGAGAAAAGCAGAGAGAAAGAAAGTTTTAAAAAAATCTCTGCCTAAGCAAAAGTTTTCATTAAAATTTTAGACAAATGATCCCTGTGTCCTTCTCCCTTGCTGCCTGGGGCTCCATGCTATTTCTATGCAAATAACAACCTCGTGGTTTATATCTTATTATTTCCACCGGAGCTGCAGCGACATGACCTGAGACGTGTAAAGAGGTGGGGAGAAGGGGGAAGGGCGTTGGAGAGGAGACAGAGAGAGGGAGAGAGGGAGAGAGGGAGAGAGACATGGAGTGGGTATTCACTCAAGTGTGAAAAAATATTGTCAGGAGTGAGCGTCAAGAACAAAAAAAAATTGCTGGGATAACGTGTTTATTTCAGTCCCCCCACCCCCCTGCAAACCGGCACCTTTTAAAATTCATTGGGCATCGGGCGATCATGCACAATCCATCTGCTTTCACTTTATCATTTGCATTTCATGCCTCCTGGCTTTTGATGTGCTGATACTTTGATGCAGTCAGGAGACGCGCATTATCATTATTTCAATTTTCAAAGGGGTCAACAGGATCGGCACTTGCACACACACATTTCTTTTTTCCTACAACCTCTGCGCACCCCCTTCCTTCTTATTCCTAACCCCACTGTTTAACATAAAGAATGAAGACTCAAAAAGGTGGGGGTCAAATGTTTACAGTCTAAAAGCTTGCATACACTGCCTACATTTCCACTTTACACAGGTACACACACACTAAGAGCAAAATGGTCAAGGCTTAAGGAGGCTCTACAATGTCTCAGACACACACAAAGACCTTCTCACTCATGGATACTCAGGGAGGTACAAAGAGAAAGAGGAATCTAGAAGCTAGATACAGACACAAAGAGACAGAGAGACCTGCACTCACACAGGAAGAGATGTGCATTCACAGTGACCTGCACAGAGTATGCAAGACAGAGAGATTCCTGCAGAAAGAAGGCAGAGATGTAGAAAGACACTAGTCACACAAAGACAGAACAGGAGAATGAGTAAGAAGAAGCAACCTGAGCATGTAACTCCCATAGTTTCCTTTTTCATACCTGATAGGACATTCATGAATTTGCATGAAATTGGGTGTCTGTGAAAAACAACGTTTGTACACTTAAGAGGCACTGACAGGAAGACAGTGAAGCAGGCAATGCAGGATTAGGTAACCTCTATAACTGATCACTCCCTTCGGCTACAAATGATCATGCCCTTTGGGAAATGAGCATTGTTTGGTAAGTTAACAGCTGCAGTTTGACTTGCCTTTTCCCCCTGCAACTAGATGTCTCCTTTAACAAGCAGCCCTGTAGGCTAACAGAAAGGTGAATATAATGAATTTGGTCAGAACAATTCAATCAGATTTTAAGAAAAAAATCCATAATGCTTTGTTATAGCACAGGAGCAATTCAACTGGTAAGTTTCTAAAAAACAAACAAAAACAAACCAAAAACCCAGCAGCAGCAAGAAAACTTTTGCTTTTGTAATATTCTCTGTGCATAACAGTATCAGGGAGAGGACAAGCAACTCAACATATGAAGATACATTGTAGAAATTAGCTCTTTGTCCAGATATGGAAACATTTTGGAAATACAGGTGTCTTCTCTAAATTCTATCCTCACAGATAATGGAACCTACAATTCTCTTCAACATTCATCAATATCTTCTCCTCAGAAGGTATCCAAAAGATCAAACTAAAATAAATTCAATACTCTCAGCAGTTTGTCCCAGTGCAATAACCTCCTTCAGTACTGGCAGCTCATAATCTTTATTTCTAAGCTACCCTTCAGAAAGAGAGCAGGACATCCAAGTTTGCCATTGTTAGCACTGCTCTGCCTTTTCTTGGAGAGAATGGCCAGCCTGGAGAAGGACAGAGTCCATGGAATGCAGAGAGCAAATCGATCACGTCAAATGGTCCCCCTCATTTCTGACACCCCCAAAAGTGATTGGACCAATGGAAGCACCAACTTTTTCTAAATGGGAATGATAGAATTGGACACTTCATTTCTATCCTTCCACTTGAAAATTTAGGCCTGATAAAAAGTCTGTGCAAGCCTAGTAAAGCCAATATCCAATACAATTTAGCATATGTATACCACCAGCAGCTCAATCACCAAATCATGTAAGAGGAAAAGGGAACTAAAATTGTAATGAGGGCCAACCAACACTTTGTGCCAAGTACTAGGCACTTTTACTCATGTTTTCTCATTTCATCTCCACAATAACATTTGAAGATATAAATTATTACCTCCCTTTGACAGATGAAGAAAATTGAGGAGCTGGGAAGTTACATGAGTCATACATACAAAGTCAGCCAGCCAGGCCCAGACTGTTATTACACATTCCTGGTTCTTTAGAGAATAATTTTCCTTTGTCTGCAAAGAAGTCAGAACTGCACTGTCCTTTGAATATTCAGATATTCTTAGTTTCACTCTTATAAGCAGTGATCTCACCATCCATTTCCCCCCTCCTTTGGAAAAGTCCCTATGAGCTTGGATGGAAAAGGTACAAACATTTCTTCTGAAGGAAAGAAGTAAGTCTCTTATGTCAAACTCCTCCCCTGCAATCCTCCATTCACCCCTTTTCCATTCAATATTTACCAAGTACTTCCTCTATATAGGGACAGGGGCCCACCTTAAGTGCCCCTTATTTTAGAGGTGCATTCATAATTTCTCAGAACATTAAAACTTGATATCTTCAGCACAGAGGCTGGTTTAGACACAGCTCCACATCTAGGAATAGATCTGATCTCATGTTCCTTACTCACAGATGGAAGAAAGGGAGGGAAGGCAGAACAGAAGCATTTTATTAATTCTCTCTTTCTTGAAACACTCTAGAAAGTAGACTCTGAAGCAGGAGTTTTATATGGTTCGTTCATTAACAGACTCACAGGGCTTGGAACAGTGCCCAGCACATAGTAGGTACTCAAAATATTTGTTGATTGGAATGAGTAGGCAAGCAAGGCAACAGGGAGGGAAGCTGGAGGGAGAGGGGAAGAGACAGACTGAGGATGGAATGGATTGAACGACTCTCCCCGAATCAGAGTGCTGATTTAAGAATTAATAATTTTTCAAACAGCTTCAGATACTTCTCCCAGACCCTAGAAACTTACTTTGTTGAGGGCCCCAGCTCCTGTCAGAATTAAGTGTGAATTTTCAACCTGGATGGTTCTTTGTCCTAGCCGAACAAGGTAAGCTCCAATCCCAATGGCCCGGCATGTAACCTTAAAAAAGAAAAAATTCTACATGTCATATACTTATGTCCTCACCCAAGCTTTAATAATTAAGGCACAGAGATATAAAACTTGCAAACAGAAAAATATGTGGTTTTTTATGAAGTTGGCTTGATTGATAACAATACAAAAAAAAAAAACAAATTTCCTGGTCAAAGAAAAGAAGGTATAGAATTCATTCAATGACTCAAGTATTAGACACATAAGTTCAAAGGCCCTTTACTTCCCTTATGCTTTTGCTCATTTCATAGATGCTTGACATCTACACCATAGGCATGAACAAGGGAAGTAATAAGAGGAGAAATTTAAGCCATTAAAATTAAATTTCTTTATTTCTAGAGAAATAAGTTAAACTTTTAACTTTTAGCTAAAACGAGGAGCTAGGTTTATCCAGGAAATTCAATTTTTTACATTATACCATCTTTCTATTATCATATACAATTAGAATCAAATTTTACATAATATATATATAATTTTTAAGAAATGCTCTCAGTTGGAACTGAATAGCAGTGTTTGGGGCAAAAACAAATCCAAGCCACAGTCAGCTCTTTAAAAATTTCATGTTCTGGCAAGATTTACCAGGCTGATGGTGATGATCTCATCATAGGCCAGTGAGGACTCTCCAGCAATCATCCCAGAACCTCGAAGGTTCTCTGCTCCAATTCCCTCTTCCTTCCCAATAATATCAGTTATCTTGTACCTGTTAGATACAGCCATGCCAAATTATAAAGGTTAAACACAGTAGCAACAATCTATTAAAAGAATAATCACCATTAAAGGCTGCTATAAGTATAGTGAAAGCTTATATTTAACACCAGGGCTCTATACTCCTCTTATACTCTTCATTCATATATCTTTCCTTCTTAGTGTGGTGCCTATTTTTTTCTGGAAGGCATATGATATAGCAGAAAGAGCAAAATCTATAATTCAGTACATAGGTTTAAATCTACACTACATATAGTAGTGTAAGTCTGGAGATAATAGTAACTAGTAGTGTAACTCTGGAGATAACAGTAACTTCTGTGAAATGGAGATGACAGTGTCTACCTCTAGGGGCTGACACAGAGTTAAAGGAACAAGGAGAGGAGTTGACACAGGTGGCACTCAGATTTTAGATGCCCTCTCAACTTTCTTGAACAAATTTCTTAAAAGCAGGGCCAATGTATATCTCTCTATAAAAAGCAATAGCCATTAAATCAACAATTTTAGATAAATGTTACAAGCAAATAAAAAATCCAGAAGCATAGTGAGAATGCTCAGCCTGATTTATCAAGTCAAAATTCCTCCCTTTCCAAGACAGGGATGAAGGGGAAAAGCAAAAGAGTGCACTCCCATTCCTGCTCCTTTGTAAATATCAGGTGTACAGGAGGGCTCCTGGCCATGGTCCTCTGGAGGGGCAGGTGGAATATGTGTAGAAGTGAAATGCTGGCCAAGTTGTCCAGAAAACATCCTGTGGATCCAGGGGGAGCCACTCATCTATCTTCTTGGCAAGGGATTAAATGTGATAGCTGATAATACGAAATGGGAGATGGGGAATGCAACTAATAAAAGAAAGGAAAAATACAAAGTTGGAAGTAGAGATGGGCATATATTTTTTATTGTTCTATGTGTACCCGGAAGACTTGGCACTGGGCACAGTTTTATAAATTGAAATAATAAATAAGCATCCCATAGTGGCTTTTAAACTACGTTTTGCCTCATATATCTCTGCTCCCTTCCTTACTTGCAGTCCTCCATCAGTTCTTATTCTTTGCCTTTACTGTTGGTCTGAGCTTTGCATCTCTGCTACCCAGATTCCCTTGCCTTTTTATTTTTAGCCTCTCCCAACAATTTCCCAGTTCTTCCTTTTTGCTCCATATCTAGACTCTGGTTTCTAGTTATGTTACAGGTAAAACTATCTCCCTTAAGGGGTTATTATGCTACATTAATTGGGGCAGGTATGTGTGTTAATGTTCTTTTTATAAGGCCCACATGCCATATAGTCACAAATCTCAAGGCCCTAGTCAGCTCACCCTGTAAAGCAGATCTTTTCCCTCCTAAGGATTACATATTGCTTCACAGGTGTTTATGATTTGTTAAGTGGAGGTCTTCTGCCATTGTACTACATGAAAAGAATAAAAGTTCCCCATTTTCTGCTCTATGATCTGAGTCTTCTATCATTAAGACTATCTATAAAGTAGCACCACAATTTAATGTTATGTATAATAAAAACATTTGTATAGTGTAATACAATTAACAAAACACCTTCATATGTATCATTTTTTATCCTCACATTTTGATCCAGGGATAGGTAATTATCACATCTCCATTATTATACATAATAGGAGCCAGGATTTTTGACTGCTTAGTATGTGCTCAGTGCTGTACTAATGGCTTTACATATTACAAGTGTACTTGATCTTCATCTTACAGATGAGGAAACTAAAGTTCAGAAAAGAAAAATGATTTGCTTTTATAAAAGCAATATACAAAACCAATAGCTTTCTAAGGTAGCAGTAATAAAGAGTTAAAAAAATATAATGGGAGGTGGTGGGGGGAATCCCATTCGGAACAGCAAGACAAAATGCAAAATATTTAGGAATAACTGTCTAAGAAACGGCAAAGTCCCCACTATATCCACACTGTGCAACAAGGTATCCTGGGGTCCCATGATGAAATGTAGGGGCACTGCAGGATATTTTGAATTTTTAAAGAAACACTATAATATGTGTCTTGCCAATGGGTTTCAGCCCTGGGCAAGTTCACTATGGATTCAGTGAGACTGAGGAATGACAATGGAACGTTCTTGGGGTAAAAGGGTTTATTACCGGACTTGTTCTCTTGGTGATAGGTCAAGCAATAAAATTATGTTTGTATCCAACAGTCTGCAGGTCTATAATCCTCCTTCCTCTCTGCCTCCGCCAAGAGCACTAGGCAGAGCTCTTTATATAGTGACTCAGTCAGTAATAGCTTATTACCTACAGTGTGGAAGCAGCAGCTTAGCAGCAGGCCAGTTACATCATCAAGTAGTTTAGGTTCAGGTGAGGGAGGATTCTGGCCATCGGAACTTCAATTTCCCCCACAATATGTGATACTGTTTGGATTCCATGTGAACTACTTACTAGCTTTAGATAGTTCATGGTTTAACACCAGATAGTGTTACATTCCTTTTGACAATGTCCTACCTTTGCAAAGCTGGGTTTTCAGTTTCTGTGTAAAAAAATGAAGTTCTGCACAAAAACCAATGCAGAACAAGAAATGAGTTAATTTCAAGGTTTGATATGTCATCCAAATGCAAATATCCCATTTGTTAAAAATGAAAAAAATTTCAATTTATGTGCATTATATTTTCAAATGATTGTTAAAGTTGTTAGGGTATAAATACTTAAGAAACTGTTTGGGTCTGACTACTTAATAAACAGAAATATTAGGTATTTCTTTTAGTCTCAAGGTGCTGTGAAAAACTACTGAGGCTGTAAGGGGACTGTGAACCCAGAAAATAACCTATATGAAGAAAACTACAAAACAAAACAAAAAAATACACTTCAGTAAATGGAAAAACACGCCATGTTCCTTGTAGGGAAGGGTTAATATTATGAAGATGTCAGATCTTCCTAAATTAACTTATATACTTACTATAATGTGCATCAAAATCATTACAGAAAGTTTTTGAGAATTTAAAAAAAAAGAGCCTATATATAAGAAGACAAAAATAGCTAATAAGACTTAGGGAAAAAATTAAGGATGTGAGGATATATGCCTCCCCACCCAAGAATGGTTAAAATAATGTGGCATTAGCCAGTAATAGAACAAATAACAACATACAAAGCCTAGTAATTGAGTTAAGATTAATATAAAGTTAAGGAAAGTATGAATTAGTCAATAAATGGTATTGGAGCATTTGATTAACGTTCTGGAAAATATTTGCAGATAGATTATAAAAAGGTTCAACTTCACTAGTGATAAAAATACACTAAAATAACAATTGTTGTTTTTATCCTATTTTATTAATGATAATAATCTATGTTGGCAAGATGAAGCAAAATTAAAGGGAAACAAACATTATCATATATTGCTGGTGGGAGTGCAGATCTTGGGAGGGCAATCTGAAATTATCAAAAAAGTCTTAAACATGGACATACTTTTTGACCAGTAATTCTACTTTTGTAAAGTAACCTAAGGGGATTAATCAGAGATGATTCTGAAAGTTTCTGTTTAAGAATGTTAGCCAGGGCACAAGAACAGACTCATAGACCAATGGAACAGACTAGAGAGCCCTGATATAAACCCAAGCATATATGGTCAATTAATATATGATAAAGGAGCCATGGACATACAATGAGAAAATGACAGCTTCTTCAACAGCTGGTGTTGGCAAAACTGGACAGCTATGTAAAAGAGAATGAAACTGGATTATTGTTTAACTCCATACACAAAAGTAAACTCAAAATGGATCAAAGACCTGAATGTAAGTCATGAAACCATAAAACTCTTAGAAGAAAACATAAGCAAAAATCTCCTGAATGTAAATAAGCATGAGCAACTTCTTCCTGAACACATCTCCTAGAGCAAGGGAAACAAAAGCAAAAATGAACTCATGGGACTACATCAAACTAAAAAGTCTCTGTATGGCAAAGGACACCATCAAACACAACAAAAAGACATCCTACAGTATGGGAGAATATATTTGTAAATGACATATCCAACAAGGGGTTAACATCCAAAATATATAAAGAACTCACATGCCTCAACACCCAAAAGGCAAATAATCCGATTAAAAAATGGGCAGAGGATATGAAGAGACAATTCTCCAAAGAAGAAATTCAGATGGCCAACAGACACATGAAAAGATGCTCCACATCACTAATCATCAGGGAAATGCAAATTAAAACCACAATGAGATATCACCTCACACTAGTAAGGATGGCCAGCATCAAACAGACTAAGAAGAACAAATGCTGGTGAGGATGTGGAGAAAGGGGAACCCTCCTACACTGTTGGTGGGAATGTAAGCTAGTTTAACTGTTCTGGAAAGCAATATGGAGGTTCCACAAAAAACTCAAAATAGACATACCATTTGACCCGGGAATCCCACTCCTTGGAGTTTACCCAAAGAATACAACTTCTCAGATTCAAAAAGACATATGCACCTCTATGTTTATTGCAGCACTATTTATAATAGCCAAGATATGGAAACAACCTAAGTGTCCATCAGTAGATGAATGGATAAAGAAGATGTGGTACATACACACAATGGAATACTATTCAGCTATAAGAAACAAATCCTACCATTTGCAACAAGGATGGAGCTGGAGGATATTAGTGAAATAAGCCAGGCAAAGACAAGTGCCAAATGATTTCCTTCATTTGTGGAGTATAACAACGAAGCAAAACTGAAGGAACAAAACAGCAGCAGATTCACAGACTCCAAGAAGGGACTAGTGGTTACCGAAGGGGAGGGGTGTGGAAGGGTGGGTGAGGAGGGAGGGAGAAGGGAATTGACGGGTATTATGTTTAGTATACATGGTGTGGGGGGGGTGTCATGGGGAAAACAGTGTAGCACAGAGAAGGCAAACAGTGACTCTGTGGCATCTTACTACACTGATGGACAGTGACTGCATTGGGGTATGGGTGGGGACTTGATAATATGGGTAAATGTAGTAACCACATTGTTTTTTCATGTGAAACCTTCATAAGAGTGTATATCAATAATACCTTAATAAAAAAATTAATATAAAAGAATGTTAGCTAGGGAATATAGCAGTAAAAAGTTGGAATACTCTGAATGTTTAAATAAGACATATTCATTATGATGAAATACCATGAGGCCATTAAACATCATATTCTCAAATAATATTTTAATGACAATCAAGAAAATATCCCCCAAAATAGTTTTTATTGAAAAGAACAAATTATAAAAGGGTTTTTCTATTATGATGGCGATTATGTAGGAAAAAAGTAAGATAGCAAGAATATACATTGAAAATTGTGATCTCTTGGTAGGATTGTAGCTAATTTATATATTTTTTTGTAACTGTTTACATATTTCAACTTTTCTAAAAAGAATATTATAAATATAATTTTAAAACCCTAAGGTCTTAATAAGTGGTAATCCTAAAATAATAAGTAGTAGAGCTAAGACACCAACCTAAAACCTCTAGATTGTATAGCAATCTTCTTTGCTCTTCAAGGTCATGATCAGCAGGACAGTGAGGCAAAAATTATCATATTCTCCTTTCTTTAGTCCATGGCCAAATTACTCTGGTAAGTATATACCTACCTGGATTCTCCTTCATCTTCCACATGTTCACAATAGACAGAGTTGAGAGCACTGACTCTCTTATAATCCTGAGGGGTCAGATATAAATATTTGTATCCCTGTGAAGCAAAAATGTTTTTAACTCATTATTTGCCATCATCATATAATCAGAAGACACAGCAAAGCATGCATAATGCATCTTGTTCCAAAGCTAGCTTTAAATTGCCACATTACTTGTTAGAGTTACTGTCTAATAGAATACTATAATAGACAGTTCTCCTTTGAAAGATGGAAGTGCCTATTTCTCCAGTCACCCCGCTGTCCTTGAAACAAGGTATCTTATAGCTGCAACTCTAAGTATATTCCATTCCCTTCATTTTTTATCAGGGTTACAGTGTAATTTTCTGATCATTAGTGATATCTCTATTAAAGATATCAACACAGAACTAAATAATTTGTGAATTACTATTCTTCACTTTTTCAAATCCGTAGTATCATCAAAACAGAAATGGGTAAGGGATAAATGAGAGGATAACAAAACTACAAGTCTACTCAATCTAAAATCAGAAATCTGTGCAGTACTAATAATTAGTGAACACTGAACACGTGCCTTTTGCTTTTTAAAATAAAATGCTAATTCCTATTTAGATTAAAAAATTATGCTAATATTTCATAATTGATTTATATATGTATACACACTCACAAAGTAGTATTATATGTTTAACTTAAGTGAATTAGTCAGCCAAAAAAATTTAAATAGAGGAAAACATTTTAAATACTATGAAAAATTATACCTACCACTTAACTCATTTAATTTGTCCCACAGTGAGCATAACATGGAAGAGACGTGAATCTGCTATTGATTTTACATGATTTATGATGAGAACCTTGTAGCTCTGAGTATCACTGTATGTCAGCACATGATTACTGAGTGTCTATTGTAAGTACTGTTTGGGTGCTGGAAAAACAGGAATGAACAAAACAGACAAAATTTCCTGGCCTTAAGGAACTTATGTTTTAGTGAGGAAAACAGAAAATACACAAAGTAAGTAAGCGAAACATACAATGTCAATGGGAATAATGCTTAAAGAAAAAATAAAATAGAGAAGGGAGACAGGAGCATTGAACTCTTAGAAATAAAAGCCAAGGGAAGGCTTCATTGAAGGTGTCATCTGAGCAAAGACCTGAAATGCTGAGGAAATCAGACAGGAGTATATCAGCAGGAAGAGCTTTGTGGGCAGAAGTAACAACAAGTGCAGAAGTGCTGGGGCATGAGGGTGCCTCGCAGGTTCAAGAAAGAGTTTGGAGGCCAGTGGCACCACAGTATGGGTGAGACTAGCTTCAGCAAGAAATGAGAGCCTACAAGAAATAGACGGCCTTGAGTTAAAATTCACATAACATAAAATTGGCCATTTTGAAATGTACAATTCTGTAGTTTTTAGTATATTTAGATTTGTGCAATCATCACCACTATCTGATTCCAGGACATTTCCATCACCCCCCAAAAAAACCCTGTATGTGCCTGTTAGCTGTCACCAACAATTTCACAGTTCTAATATGAATTTTATTGAAGAATAACTTAAATGCAATATATTTATTCAATTTTAAGTGTTATAGTTTGATGGGTTCTGACAAATGTATATATTTGTGTAATCACCACCACAATCAAAATACAGAATATTTCCATCATCTCCTGAAATACTCTTGCATTTAAAGATGTGGAAGGCAGCAAAGGAAACTGAGAAAGCAGTTAGAAAGATAAAAAGGATATTCTGGGGTCCTAGAAGCCAAGGGAAGAAAGTATTTCAAGGATGGAGTGACCAAATACTTCCAAAACATTAAATAACTAAAATGACAACTGACATTCACGACAGAATTTAACAATATGGAAACAGTGGAGACCCTGACAAGAGCAACTACAGTGGAATGGTGAGGGTGCAAGTTAATTCAAGTGGGTTCCAGAGGCAACTGGGAGACGAGTATATGGAGATAGCAAGAACAGAAATTTTAAGAAGTTTGCTGTAAAGAGATGGAAAAAATGGGGTAGGGTTAGGGAGGGAAAGAGTGATGATGTAAGGAGAGAGAAGTGTGGATGTATATCCTTACGTTGGCAAGGGTAAAGATCAAGCATATGAGAGGAGGCATTGGCCTTAGGAGCAGGGACTGTTCACCCAGAGTACAGGAGAGAAGGCCGAAAATAGGGCACAGCTGCAGATAGGTGGGGGCTTGTGAAGGCACTTCCCTAACAGCTGCTGCTCTCAGTGGATTGGGAGGCAAGGTCACCAACTGTGAGTGTGGATGGGGGGAAAGGAGGCTGGGGGTTTCAGGAGGGAGGAGAAGATGCGAAACTGTCATTTGGGAGGTTGGGTAAGCTTGATTTAAAGTAAAATGAGTCAACAGCACTGGGTATTTTTCTCCATCAGTGTTCAGCTATGCCAGTTCAGGTATGGGGGTAAATGGAGACAGCTACATTTAAATAAGGTTTTTGCAAAGGGACAGAATAAGCAGAATGGAGAGAGGAGCAAATACACTGAGGGTGTAGGAAAGGTAGTGGTTTTAATGACTAATCTATGATTGACTTTAAGCTGGATAGGAATGAAATGAGGATATAAGGAGGAGGTAAAGAACTGAAGGAAGGTGGTAGAAACAACAGCTGTAGGTCCTGGCAAGTTCAAAGGATTGCTGGATGAGGAGAACCAGAGTGAGCTGAAAAGATAGGATGAAGGGGTGGCAAGAAAGGGATGCTTGAAACTGAGATCATGGGGAAGGAGAGGGTAAGCTGAGGTGGAAAACAGGACCACTGGAAGACAGGAAGTCAAGGATCAAAGAGATCAGATTTATGGGATGGCTCATCTGCATGGCTACAGTAGTCAGCAGCGACCAAGAATTATAAAAGAACCAGTTGTACTGGGGAGAGTGACAATGTGCCAGCAACCAGAAGTTGCAAAGAAAGAGAGGGAGTGACCAAAGGGTCAGGGAACACTAATAAGGAGAAGTGGCATAAGGCACAGTCTGATGACCTGAGATTCAAAGATGGGCTTTTTCAGAGACAAGGGTCTAGAAGCAGCAATAAGACACACAGAAGACACTATTCTATTCAAAGCTCAAGGAGAAACCAGATGAATTTGTCTCCCATGTGGTTGTGGTTCATGATAAGTGCTGATCTTTCAACTTTAAACTCTACCTCTCCCCCACCTTACTATGCATGTGGGTGTACACACACACACACACACACACACACACACACACGCACGCACGCGCACACGTACATGCATAACCATCCATTGTCCTGAAGTATTATCTTTTCTTAGTCTGTACCTTGTAAGGATCCTCAGGATCTACCCAGGCCACGTGAAACATATGACGAATTTCCTCTGCCAGTCCAATTCTTGCTCCACTGTTGGCTGCTACAAAGATGCGAGGGATACCCTCTGCCCTGGCAACCTCAGAAGCTCTGAGAAACAGCAAATCCTCCTGGGGCCCAAAGGACCCAATTCGGTATGTAATATCATTGCCAATAACAATGATATCTCGACCTTCTGGATATTCAGGACTTTTAAGGGTCATTTTCCAAGCTACCATGCCAATCTGCAAAGGCATAAAAAAAATAAATAAATACAAGCTTCTTACATGCAAGTTTTTTTCAGGTTCCTTGAAGGTATCAGACTATATATACCTGGACACAGCCTTCACGTAAAGGTATGCACTGCTGAGGAGCCAAGCTCCCTATGGGAAACGAACAAACATTGTAGCATACTTCTCTTGATTATGTTGAGAACAGCTATTTACTATGTATTTCACAGTTGTCTCAATTCACTCTCTGGGCCTGCTCAAAGATGGAAACCCAAGTTTAAATGTACTCAGGATACATGCTCAAGAATGCCATGACACTGGGAATTAAATCCTTAACTTACTACCCTATCTATTAAGGCACTAGTTCGGTCTTTTGTGAGATTCTTGGAGGAACAGAAAGGAGATCACCTCTCAGGGACTACAACTTTTGTGATCCTGGATCCTATTACTGTCCTCTATCATTTGCTAGGAATAATAGCAACATTCTTTACTGGCTTGCTCAGGTTGTCTTCCATTTCCACAAGAACTCACTATTGCTCAACACTGCATCCTTGTGAGCATCTCTTGCCACTGTCTCCCAGTGCCAGAAAACAAAAGATGCAAGGAACTAATCTCTTGCTGTTCTACAATATATGTAAATCTCTGCTCTCTATTCAGCAGCATCTGACCAGTACACAAATAAATGATATTGACTTAAAAGGCAAGGGAGACATGTCTCTTCCCAAACCTCACAGCCCTCTCCTCTTTTAATCCCCTTCTATATGAGAACTTGTCAATCCTTCTACTTGTTTATTTGCTAGTTCCATTTCTTTTCTATTCACTCACACCCCAGTTACAGCTGCAGTTTTTCATGTCTGCCTGTCTGTTTCCCTATACCTGGATAAGTAATGTTGTCCATTCTTTTTTTTTTTCCAGTTTCTTTCTGTCACCACCCCCCGCCCCAACTCCCACCTCTCCACTCCAAACACAAAGCCTACCCAGATGAGTATTTCTGGTCCTGCCTAATGGAGCCCAGCCACATCTGCAGCCTTGGTCCCTCATCCCCAGGCTGCTGCATATCACCTCATTGGGGAGCCGGCCATCAAGAAGGGCCATTAACAGATGTAAATAGCAGCATCCCTGGAAAGCCACATGCATCAGCCAGACTCAACTGGGCCAGTGATCATAAGCTCTGAGTACACATCCCTCAATCCAATTGCACACCCACTGTAATCAGGCTGGTTGAAGCTTTCCACATAGCTATTTGTGATTCTCAGGATTAAGAAAAAAATATATATATATATAATATATTTATTTATTTATTTATAAAACACCCACAGATAAATATAAGCTCTTTAATATATCGCACCATTGGCCAAATACAAATCAAAATGGCTATAATACACAGAAAAAAATCCAATCACCTTCTAAGATAAGATAGTACTCTTTCTGCTCATTAAAGACAAAGAAAAGGAAGAAGACACAGATCATCCAAAAAACAGCATGGGGTAACTCCAAATATCAGGATAATTTTGGTCATGGTTTTTAAGAAGACAGTTATTATAATGCCTGTGTTGGAAGAAATATGTTACCCGCCTTATCTCATGGCCCTCTAACCCAACATCTCTTCTGTTTTTCAGTTAGAAAAGGTATTTCCTGTAAATGCATAGTAGTTAGGAAGATTGGGTTTTATACCAAATTTTATGATATATTAACCATAGCCACCTAGGCTAGAAACAGCTTAGTTACAAGCCCTGAAGAACTGACTTCAGCATTTGCATGCTAATGCAAACACTGTGTCTATGTGGCACTGGGCAGGCAAATAATCATCATCTTTTGTTACTACACGGGGACTCTCAACTGTGTCACTTGGGCAGTCAGTTCAACAACTGGCCTGTCATTATGCTTGCAATATTGACTTCTAATTAGGTTATCAACACAGCAGCACGAGGAACACACTATTCTTTATCAATGTCTTTCCAAAGTGTGTTCCTCTTCCACCACTTCCACTCCTTTCTTAAAAAGTACCATTACAGAAGAGAGAGAGAGCTATCCCAGTCTTAGTATAGTGAGATTCCTTACTAGAAGAAATTAAGCTTGAGTAAACATGGATAAACATCTAAGTAAGTAAGTAGTAGATATTTCTCAATTTACACTAAAGTTTAGATTTTTTTGTTAAGTGATAAGGCATATAATCGAGTACATGGGCTTTGGAGTCAAATAAACTTGGATCCACATTCAGGCTTTATTATTATATCTATTAACTGTGTGACCTTGGGAAAATAATTTTATTAAGCTTCCATGTTCCCACATACAAAATTAATAATACCTATGGGTTTGATGGACAAACTTTTAAAAACAGTAATCTATTAACTTTAACATATAGTTTGCCCCTTGTCTCCCCTCTCAACCTATCCAAATCTGCCCATTCCCAAAAGATTCATTCAAATTCGATTTCCTCAGTAAAGCTTCCCAAATCCTAAAGTGACCCCCTTCTTCTATGATCTCCTACTAAGCCCTTCATGTAGAGAACGCATTTAATAATTAATTATATACTGTCTAGGACTGCTTTTAGCTTGCCAGCATGAACCACGATATCATCTCTCCAGGGCCTAGCAGGATCCCTACATATAACATGGGAGTCATAAATGTTTGCTGGCTCCACAGTCATTTCATTTCTTAAATGATATTTGAAAAATGGTCAATACCAAGGGCTTAGAACATTGTCCGTGACTTATCCCTAGAGATCATAGAATAAGTCCTAAACATCATTCAAGTATTTATTTTTTTAAATAACAAGAATAATAGCTATCACTAATTGAATATCTATTACACGATGTACTATACTAAAAGTTGACAAATACTGATAGTAGTTTAGAGGTCAAATTGGAGAATGTCAGCCAGTCTCATTTCAAATCTCATCTTTATACTAACTGGACAAGTCACTTACCCTTGTATAGCCTCAATTTTTCCAATTATATATATGTATATATAAAATGGGGATAATAGTATCATTCTGGAGGGACTATTGTTAGGAACACCATATTAAATTAGTACAGATCTTGACATATGAAAGTCCTCAAATAAGTAGCTTATCATTATTAATTTGAAAGCAGCTGATATTATTGCCATGAGAAAACTGAGGCACAGATAAATTAAATTTCCTTATAGCTAGTATGAATTTTTTTTGAAAATAAGGTTCACATAATTCCCTTTGCTAGAGAAATTAAGGAAGTATGTTCCAGACTAGTGCCCCTGCACTTGGCTGAAACAATGTGGAAAGATGAACATCAGTTATAACACAAAGATACACATCACTGACACGGTGACTGGACACCATGACTGGATCTGGGAAGAGAAAAAGGACATTAGTTGAAAACCTGGTGAAATCCAAAACAAAGTCTATGTTTTACTTAATAGTATTGTACCAATGTTAATATCTTGGTTTTGATAATTATACCAGTTACATAGGGATGCTGGATAAAAGGTTAATGGGAACTCTTTGTACTGTCTTTAAAACTTTTCTGTAAATTTAAAATATTTTAAGACAAAAAGCTAAAACTATAAATGGTATGATAAAAATTTTGGAGAAGTAAATTGGCTAGTGAAGTCACTGTAGTGTTCAATTCAGCCTTGTCAAGTGATGGCTATGAATACTATGAACAGCAAGTAAAAATACCCAGAAGGTAATACTAAATTTGAAGAAGTGGTCTAACAAAGTTGTATGTATACTATAATAACTGTGAGAGGCAAAACTGTGGTAGTTAAAGGGCACAGACTCAGAAACCAGATCTAACAGAACCTGAATGACAGAATAAAGATTTAATCAGATTTCTAGTCACATAACCTTAGGTAGGTTACTAACCTCTATGTGTCCCAGTTTACTCTTCAGTAAAATGGGGTAATAATATTCCATTCCATTGTTTGCATCTAATCCATTAAGGATTAAATACATGGTAAACCTTAGAACTTGTCACATTATAAACGGATAGTAAGTATTAAAACACTCTATCTAGAAGCACGTTGGGGAAAATAAAAGCAGAAATAAACATAGCAAGATCAGATGGCAATCATTTTAGGATGATGGCATTATATACTTTTTTTCCTCCCATTTTCCAAATTTTCTTTAATATATTTATGTAGCATTGATAACTTAAAATTTTTATAAATTAAGAAAGTGAGAAAAGACTACCAAATACTTCTTCACTGAGTGACAGGTACATGGAGCTTATATTATTATCTCTACTTCAGTGTACATTCAAGCAAGTTCATAATAAAAAAAATTTTTTTAAGGGGAAAATTATCAGACCCATCTAATCTCATACAAGAACAGACTCTAGGTTTTATTCATGCTATAATAGGTCATATTTATATGAAGTTAGAGAGAGACATATAAACATAAAAATTGAAAATCAAGACTCACCTCAAAGGGAGAACTGTCTTACTTGTTGGGGCTATCATTGTATTTTTAAAAAAGAAATGCTCTGTAGTGATGTGGTGGAATTTAAACATATGTATATATATGTTTATACAATATTAATATCTGTACCTGAGAAGTAACTGCTTCAGTGTTTTTCTGGTCTGATGGTTAAATACATATTTATACTTTTAAAGTCAATATTTGTACAATAGACAAGAACAGTGCCTATCAGCTAAATACATATTTAGGACTGTACCACATGTATTACAAACATGTACTAAAATCGAAAGCTTGTATTTATACAGAGCCTTTCATTTTGAAGGGGGCTAAAGAGCTTTACAAACATATGTACATAAAAGGACGTTTGCACTGATTGGCAGGCAAGGTATCAATTCACCCACTCCCCTATTTCTTCCAGCAGTCCAGGATAGGAAACATATAATGTCAACAGATGCAGGTCTGTAACAGCTGCAAAGACACATAACACAATAATCCACATTGCGATGCAGTCACTGAAAGAAGGTTTGCAACTTGAGAATAGCAACTGCTCTCCTCCAGTGTAGAAGCACCTCAGCCATTTTCAGCTTTGCGTTTTTAAATTATTCTCTACTAAACT